TGTGTTGGCTTAACATTACAACGTGTGTTTGTTGTTGAGGGAAAAAACGTCAATTATCTGTGTTGTACTTACATAGTACATTTATTTTGAAAGAGATTGTATGCAAACTGCACATTTCCTGTGAAAATGGAAGTGTATTTTGAAAACAGACAATGCATGTAACAGACTGATATTGACATAGCGTCCCAGAACATCAAAACCAACACACCCAGGGTACCTTGCATGTCATATGTTGACGTCCATGACCTAGCGTCAATATGTGATGAGGTCGGAGTGAGAATGTGTTGCAAAAAGAGACTGTATTAAAAAGTGAAAATACAGGAATAATTAACCAATGGACATACCCTACTTAAAACCCAACTGATTTCATAGTCTTTTGCAGACAAGTTCAATATGGTATTTCCATGTTAGTTTTTCAGTGACTATGACACCTAGGAATTTAGTGTGAGGAACTTCAGTTATTTTGAATTTTGCTTTCATATATTTTTTATTTCTGTTACAAAATATCATAAAACTAGATTATAGTTAATATTTAGAGTTTGTTCATCTGAAACTAATTTGATTATAGATGATAGCTCTTCATTTGTTTCTCAAGTCAGTGTTTCATTTTCAAATGAAGCTAACAGACATGTCATCAGCAAATAGAAGAGGCAGTAAAATTTTTGCAGACCCTCTGTAGGTCATTCCTGTAAATTAAAAATGAGAGAGGTCCAAGGATGGAGCCCTGAGGTACTCCACAAAGTAGCTTAGCTCTATTTGAATTATACCTAGTCATAGAGAGGCTATAAAGGCTGAAAGGACACTGAGAGACAAAAATGTCACCTCAGGCACACAAAACTAAAATAAAGAAGTGCTAATGTGCATTCAAATGTGAAAATCAATGCGGTATGTCTGTTTTCCACATAGACTGTATAAAAGGAGTGGATTTAGCCTCTAGGTCTAAAAACCCTAGTAAATATTTTCCCAATAAGTTTATCAATCAATTGCTACCTTGAAGTCTTATTCAATACAGCATGATGTTCATTAAGTAAAATGTGGTCCCATTCATTGTATAATAGATGATGAAATAGGGTGTGCTTTAGGGGGGCGGCTACTTTATGATTGACAGGCGTGTGCAGTGTCCTCAGTCAGATCCGCCCTCTTGTCAAAATATGGCCACTAAAATAAAACAAGATGGCAATGGCCAAAACGCCAAGCTTGATGCTTCAAAACAGTAGTCCACAAACCAATGGGTGACATTACAGTGGCTGTGCCAACTTCTTTCATACAGTCTATGGTTTCCCAAGAACAAGCCAGGAAAAAAAGGCAGCATGCAAAAGGTCCAAAACAGCAAAGCAATCACCTCACGATGAGTCTGGTCTTTTGGATTCATTTATTTACAGTCAATAGGCAGACATAAAACTCTATATTGGATGTAAAATGCCAGAAAATCACATCTGACTATATATGAATTTATCGCATGTGCATGCAGAGAAACTGCTGTTACAAGCTAACAAAAGAATCATTTTTTAATATTTGTTAAAAATATATTTGTGAAAAAGAAAAAGTATATCTTCTAAAAATTAGGTGATTACATTTGACTATCCAGTGCTGTAGAAGATATTTCGGTAAATATTTAAATTTTAAAGATATAAATCTTATGTGGTAAATACATTTGTTGTACTACAACAAAGCTTCTACATTCTGGCCGTGTGTGTGTGTGTGTGTGTGTGTGTGTGTGTGTTTGTGGTTGCATTTGGATATTCTGTACAAAAGACTGTTTGGTCTGCAAAATCACAACATGCTCACATTTGAACAAACGTTGCCTTAAGGCTTCAGAGCACTCAAGTGTGTATATGTGTTATATGTATGTAGGTTGAGTGTGTGTTTGCTCTGATGTCCCAGTGGTGTAATTGAACAGAATCTGTTTTCCGCTCGACTGAGTCTTTTCAGCGTGGACATCCCCTAAGACGTGTGTGTGTGTGTGTGTGTGTGTGTGTGCGCGCATGCGTGTGATAAAGGCTGATCATGAAACACTGGCAATCTCCCATGTGAAGTGTGTGATATTAAGTGTGTGTGTGTGTGTGTGTGTGTGTGTGTGTGTGTGTGTGGTTATCTCAAGACAGCCCAAATTAGTTTTATTCCACCTCATTAGCCACATCATTGCAGCCCCCCCCCCCCCCACACACACACACACACACACACACACTGCACATGGCAAGAACAGCAACCTGGAGATGTGTGTGTTTGCCTCTGTGTGTGTGTGTGTGTGTGTATGTGTGTGTGTGAGGAAAATGCAGAGGTCGGCCCTTTTTTTTTTGCTCCCATGCCAAAATCCAGCTCGATGTCTGTGTTAGACGTGAAGTATATCTGCATGTGTGATTCTGAGGTTGAACACTAAACAGTTTAACCATCCCAAACACATCCTCTAATAGTGAGATGGGATGTTCTGATTGAGAGCATTACAGAAGAATCGATCAATAATGCAGTGTGTAATGAACTGTGGACTTCAATCTGAACATTGTCATTACTGTCAGTAGTTGTAGTAGAAGCAGTATCAGTAGTAGCAACAGTGAGTGCAGAGACGACTCATGAACCAAAAAGGAAACTGAAATTTCACACCGTTTGCGTTTTTAGCAACTTCAGTCCAGACTGGAATATTTCAGTGACAGGATGGATCATAATGAAATTCTGTATAGATATGTCTTGCTGATTTTGGTGAGCCCCTGGATTTTTATCTAGTGCCATCATCAAATCCAGATTATAATTTGTCTAGCCCTTGGTTTATGATGAAATACTTGCAAAAGTAATAATATGCCCTTAAACTTCGACTGAAATTTGTGTAAAGCCCTAAATGTTAACAATGATGACCAAATTTATTTTGAACCAAAATTTTCACCATTACTTATTAAATCAACAAAAATAAATGCTGTCTTTATTGTTGCTTGTTTCATAATGAAAATATCCTCTCCTGAAAATGATATGACTTCTTCCTCTTCTTTTTTTTTTTTGAACATAACTGTTGCAAGAAAAAAAACGTTAGTAGCGGCTACATGACCTGAGAAACTGACTGATCTAAACTAGGACAGAGAGAGAATGCACATGTTGGCAAACTGATGTTTAGCATTTATACAGCTTCAGAGAAGCTAGCATGGCTAGGCTTTGCCAGCTTTGGCGATGCGGTTGCCTGCTAACATTAGTCTGATAAACTGCAACTGTTTGCTTAGCATGTAGGTGGTAGCTCAAACTTACTTATGTACTTCGGTGATATATGCATATTACTTTCCGCTTGTCAACTGAGCCATCTCGGCGATTTTTAAAGTGAAATGAGACATTCAAAAGTACAGCGGTGTCATTATTTTCCATCACTGCAGCAGCAGGAAGCAGGAAGCCGCTGAGGTGCCTTGACTTCAAGTAAGGCTGCATCAAGGGAACCAAATAGCAGCAGATGATTAAAAAAAATAACAATGTGCGATTAATGCATTAACGCTGACAGCCCTAGATAAGATGAACCTTTATTTATCCAGAATAAAACTGCAGCAGATGCTATACAAAGAGTGGGATGAGTGCAGATATACAAGATGTTATCTGTTCTTTCAGCCGCATTTGTATGACTATATTTTAATGCAGTGGTTCCCTACTGGTGTGTCGCGGTCCAAAAGCAGGTCAAGTGACTCGCAAATGTGTTAAGTGTGTGAAAAACACACTTAACACTACAGTGAATTTCCAGCACAGACCTTTAATTTTGAAGTGTTGTTTCCTCCTGTACAGTGACGAATGGACAGCTACTTGACAAAGACAGCAAACTAGCTCAACAACATTGCCAAACACAAGTATGACGCTATTGTGTGGACCTTGAACTAATGACTAAGGAGAAATCTGGACCCTGGGACCGGACCTGTTGGGAACCACTGTTTTAATGAGTAGTTAAGGCCTCTTTGACACTAATTAAATTATATTGAAACAAGAACTAACTGTGACCTTGATGTCTAAAAACATACTTGTTTTTTGACCTGCAAATCACCAAATGTGTGTTTACTGGATAACAGAAAACACACTAAAACTAATTTTTGGTGTAAAGGGCAAAATGTAACAGGTATGTGTTGTGGAACTTAATTGAAGAGGAGTCTGTTTTCATCCACTCACCCCACCCCACCTCAGCATTAATCGATCTGACCCGTTTTTTCTTTAGTGGATGAGCGCGTCTCGTCATTCTTCCACTTTAGTGAACATTGATCGTGATCCACTTTGTCAGGAGACGATCTGTTTCCACTAAATGTAGCACTTCCAAACAATACTGTGCTCTGCAGCAACATTTACTGCAAAAAATCAATCCACTCAATGCCTTATATATACTGTAGAAACTGAGGCTGTTACAGGGTGAACATACACTCTAGTGTCAGTAAAGCACGCCAGAAGGTGACTCTGGGCTCACATGAGGAAACTCCAGCTGATATAACTGAGTGCTGACAATCATGTCGGCCAAAGGATTTCCCAGAGTTCTCAAAGTGTTACTCTACCAGTGTAAAAAGTAAAAAGTACTAGCTCCTGAAATTTGTACCTAAGTACTTTAGATCTGCAATCAGCAAAAGGAACAGCTACCATCTCAGCTTTCTTTTGGCTATATGAATTTTGTTATACTATTGATGTCTTAACACGTTTTTTTTTTTATCCAATTATCAGACTAGTTCAAATACAGGTAGATCAAAAATTAGAGATCTTTTCCATTGAGCAACAATATGCCACAGACTGTACAGTTAATAAATGGACTCTCAAACAGTTTGCAGTCATACTTAGGCAGAAACTAGTCCAACTTGCCTCTAAAACGGACTTAATTTTAAAAGCCCACTTTGTGTAGATTTCTAATATCTTTCATATTTTCTGATGGCATTAGGTTTTGTTGATTAAAAAAAGACAATCCCTGGAACAAGCCCATACACACAGGGGCTTTAAAAACTGTCTGAATGTAGGGGATGGACCATGTCCGTCTTCATAAACACATACCTTCTGTATCCCTGCAGCTCCTTTCCAGATTCCAAAGAGCAATATCCTGACTTCCCCTTTAAGAATGGAGGCATGGCCGGTGCCATCGAGCTGAAGCGACCTGTCGGTGCCCACTGCCACGGTGCCAAAGCCGCAGCGTGTGAGGAGAGCGGGGACAAGCTGCTGGCCAAGAAGAAACTCTACATCGCTTCAGCCGTCTGCCTCGTCTTCATGATTGGCGAGGTCATAGGTAAAAGTTTAGGAGCTCAAACCTCAGGAGTGACAGAGAACAGAGGGTCAGATGTCAGGACATTTTCTGATGCATAATCAAAATCTCAGCAATGAGATTTTTAAGAGACAGTTCGACCCAAAATCAAAAAATGCATATTTTACCTCTTACCTGTACACCCAACAATCGTATCACGGCACAGAAGGAAGTGTTCATCTATACTGCTAGCTCACCTAGCACCCTGGAGCTAGCTAATGTTATAGCTATGTCGAAAAGGACGCCATTAATGTTCAACATCGCTTGCTGTCACAAGCACGAGCCTCTTGTCCATGAGTAGATGCACTCTTCCTTCTGCATGGTGATACAGTTGGCAGGTGTAGTTTGGTAGAATGAAATAAGTTCTTACATGATTATCTTGAGTGACCAGGTCATGATTTCAGGAAAGAGACATTGCTGTTGAGTTTTCAACTTTTTATTTATAATTATTATTATAATTATTATTATTATTATAATGGAAAGAAGGCAGACATCTTCACAGTTCATACCTCCAACACTTGGCAACTACAATTATAAATAGAACTACAAGTAAGAGGAAATATATGTATTTGGGGGGAACTACAGAGGGTCAAAGGAGCTGTTATCTGTCTAATTGGCACTACTAATGATGTGTGCAATAAATCTTTCTTTTTTTTGTGATGTAATGTAACATATAAATGCAATGTTGAACAAATTCTAATCATAGAGACGTGTTAAAAAAACAACACTTGATTAAAAAAAATGATGATATACACTAATTTCCTTTCCCATGAACTAACATAAAAAACAACTGGTGTTATGAACACTTGTTTGTCAGGAGGAAAAACTTGTGATTTTCTGGATGACAGTTGCTACTGATTCAAGCGTTGTAGCTACAGCAGACTTCTTTTTCCCAGAAAATGTTTAGTGGTGCTGACAGCCTTCCCCCTCCATGGACACGAGATAAAGTAATAGCTGGCAATGTGGACAATCACTTGGTTGTCAGAGGAGGGTTTGGGATCCTCAGAGGAGTCTTTGCCGCTGGCACATAAGTAATAGATGTTTAGTGTGTTTGGATTTGCTCCAGTTTAGAATCAGGCCTAACAAGTTGTGTAGAAAATGGCTGGTATGTTATGGAAGTTCATTAATGACCAAAGTATTGAGCAAGCAGACAATAATAATTAACACTTAGCAGCATGTATGTCACACTTAAGAGTTTATTTGAGCAAAACAACTTCTGGAAACAAAAAAAGGACAGGATTCTGAGAATAGCAGACGTTTTGAGGACACAAGAAAGAATTGTGTGACAAGATTTGAACAAACTGTAACTGTGAACTACGCTCACTATCTTTATTTTTAAAGGGTCCCGCCTTCATTGCATATACTGTATGAAATAATGGAAGTAGCTACCATGAAATCACCCACTAGTTTGTGGAGTCATCTTTAAAGCAACACTTACCTTTCAGGGAATTTTATGCTTTTCTTTGTTTAGGTTAAAATGCTATTAATAAGCTGATGGCACACTAAAATGTAAGTGAATTCCACCAGAGATACAAACTCCTAATTGTACCATTCACATATGGTTCTGAGAAAACTCCGACCAATCATTGCATTTGGACCGAATGCAATGATTGGCTGAGCGTCCTGTCTGTCTTCCCCATGTGGAGGCCTCCGACTGACATAACCGCTCTCGTAACATCATCACTAACTCCAGCTGAGTTTTAAAACTCCAGGATCGCATTTGACTGTCTTGGTTGTAACGTTACACTCGCTCTCCTCTTCCATGTATCTAACGTTACCTTGCCAACGCCTACGTGTATCACAGATGTAATGAGGACGTAATGGAGGAGTGGGTGGAGTTGCGGGGGGGGGGGGGGACTTTGGAGGGACGCGGGAGTTGTGGATGTTCAAATTTTGCTGTGTGAAATGCAAGAAAGGCAAGAGTTGCTTTAAGTCTCGAGTTCAGCATTTAAGCCATCGCCATCTTGATTTTTTGGAGGCAAAGTGGCCATATTTGGATGAGAAGGTGGAGCTGTGGAGGAGCGAGGGGTGAATCTGACTCACAGACTGTGGTGATGCCTCACAGACAGCCTGTCACACAAGTGGCCCTGACCTTAAATATATGTAACTTTAGGCCCTAATAAAATGTAACTGGGTGAGTTATATAAAAATTCATACCTTGTACAGTTGTCATGAGCTGTAGAGACCAATAGTGTCTTTTGTACCAGGCTGTCAATGTGTTTATTTCTGCTGTAAAGTTGAACATTTTAACATGGGAGTCTATGGGGATTGACACTGTTCTGGAGCCAGCCTCATGTGGCCATAAAATGAACTGCAGTTTTTGGCTTCATTTCTCAGCAATGGAAGCTGCCACTTGCTTCTGAATAACATTGTGTAGTCACTTGTTGACATTATGACCCTAACAACCAGGTTTTGGTGTGTTGCACTGAGTTATGTTAGCCAAAAATGGTTAGCATGTACTGTCTGAAAATCCTCCAGAACAGCTTTAGATAAATGTTTTAAACCTCACGACAAACAACTATCGTATAATTTGAGATGTCACTGAGCACAGATTAGATGTGGTATACTGACACTGACACTGGAGGATACAGAGGATACAGGGTTTAAACTGAAGGAGGTGGAAATTCACATTTGTTTTACTCTTCATTGTTCTTTTAATCATGATTTACGAGAATCATTAAAAAAAAAATCTAGATTTAAATTTGATTAGAGTTGAGGATGATGCTTTAATTCTGAATATATATATCTAAGGCACAAATTAGGAGGAGATTGTCATACTTCACTTTATGTGGGCATAATACATTTGTTTTAAAAGATACAATACAATACAACAGAGAAAACTTTCACATCAAGCTGCTGTTATGGACAAAATTACTGAAGGGAAAGAAAGCCATTTTATACAGACAGCTATATAATCATAATGAAAATACTGCAATAGCTTCACATTTCTCTTAAACACAAAGAAACTACAAAGAACAAAAGCTTTCTTTATAACTTAGAGTATATAATGGTGGCTCACATTCACTGGCTGTTTGCCCAGATGTTTATGATGATATAAAAGAATATCACATCTCTTTTACCCGAGGCATTTAAAAGGACCCAAGTATTAATACATATCACGGTTTGTAGCTGCATTAAATTACAGGTTTTATAAACCTTTAAATGACGCAGAGAGATGTAATTAAAGGCTGAGGGTGTTCTCACAGTTGGTGACACACTCCTTGTCAGCAAGTTTTTAAAGTTAGTTTTCTGGCCATTAATTGGGTCTAACTGGAGATTGTTGGATGATTTACCCAAAGTGTGGAGGCAACTTCATACAGTATCTTTTTTTTTGTATTATATTTTTATACCAGTAAAGTTATGACCTGTTATTCAAAGATTTAGCTTAAAGTACGACAATTGTTTAGACATTAGTTTGCAGATGTAAAGTGTGCTTCAGAGGGATTTTCTTGGCTAACAGTAATAATGGTGTTTCCCTGTCTTACAGGAGGTTACCTGGCCCACAGTCTGGCCATCATGACTGATGCAGCCCACCTCCTGACAGATTTTGGCAGCATGATGGTGAGCCTGTTCTCGCTGTGGATCTCCTCCAGACAGCCCACTAAAACCATGAACTTTGGTTGGCACAGATCAGGTCAGGACGAGAGATCAGACACCTTTGAGTGGATGGATGGAGTGAGGAGAGGCGAAGATGAATGGATGGAACAATTTAGTACATTTATTTGTTGCTATATATGTTTAAGAATCCTTGGATAATAGAAGGACGGTGGTGAAGTATCTATTACTTTCTTTATCTGACATATCTGATTTTTTTTTTTTCTACTGATTTTCCAGCAGTTTTATGTTTTAGAGTAATCATTTCAGTCTCTAGAAAGGCCGTGACATCTGTCCATAAAAATAAGTTTTTATTTTCACAGTTCACATTTAGCAAGTTGCATCTAAATCAATTTGTCCAACCAGTGGCGGAAAAAAAAGGCACCAGCACATACAAAGTTTTGTAGCATGTAGGGCAGCTTATATGGTAAGTCATCATGTTTTCTAATTTTTAGGGTGTCCAAGAGCAGTGTTTCCCAACTTTCTTCCTGAAAGGACTCATTTTTTATGTTTGAGTCAGCCCCTAAGTGAAAATTTTATTGATATTTCATATCATATTCAATGCTTAACAATAACAGTACAGAATAACTGATAAACTGTACGATACAGTGAAAGCAATAACTGCAAGAGGTTTGTGTAAAACAAGCAATCTGGATACATTTTGGACAGATTATGCCCTGGGAATATTGCATTGGAGACAAGTTTTCCCGGTATTTTTTAGGATCTTTTTTAGACAATTTTTGTCTGAATTATGATTTTTTTTCAACAATCATACATACTTGATAGGCTACTTTAAAAAAAAGATATATTGAGAGTTTGATGCTTGGCCATCGTTCTATTAGCTCTTAGGTTATTTCAACTGCTTACTTCTCTAATGCAGGATGAAGCTGTTTAGCAGAGCGTGAAGGCTCTGTGAATAAATTCGGTCTTCACTGTGGCCTTATCCTGTGGCATAGATCTTAAATAATAATCTAAATAAAAATAGATATCTATTATTTTTTTCACAGAATTGAATAAATTGCTGAAATATAGGCCTCATGTATTTTTGTTTACACCCCTCAAAATCAAGAAGGCCTCACAACCCCTGTGTAGCTTTGGCAACCCATCATGGGGGTCAGGACCCCCAGGTTGAGAGTCAAGCACTTTTCTATACACCCAAGAGGGCACTGTATCGTGTTTTCTCCATTTCAATTAGCAGTATAGGACATTCAGAGCATATCTAATTCACAGTCTGAGCCGGGATTGTCAGCACGTGGTTCTCAACAGATAGGCAGCTGAACTGGGGTCTAACAGCTATCAGTGCTAACAGCGCCAGTAGTGCCAACACCAGTGACAGTGCAGACAGAGCTAACTGGGGTGGGAAAACTGGAGGGTGGGCATTACACTTCTGTGACAGTGCCATCGCCAATATCAACAGTAAACACTGTGAAAGCAGTGCAGAGAGGCCGCTAGCCAGTGGGATACCATAGACTGTAGAAATAATGGAAGTAGCTACCGTGGCGTCACCTATTGGTTTGTGGCTCCCCTTTTGAAGCCTTGAGTTTGGCACTTTGGCTGTTGTCATCAGAACTGCAGTTTTTTGGCACTTTTGTTTTGGCTTCATTTTTCAGCCCCTGAAGGTTGCCACTTGTGGGGTGCTACTAGCATACATGCTTGGCTAGACTCTCTATCACCATAACAAGCAGAAAAGCTCAGATTACCAAAAAAGAGAGAGGAAGCGTGACTTAATTCTCTGCTCAGGATGCCAATTTTCCACTATATTTTTACATAGCAGTTGATGCTCATTAGACGGCACTTTATCTTGTTTTACAGCAGCACACCAACACCCAAATGTCACTTCAATCTGACCTGGGTAAAAACAATATCGAGAGTAGACAAATGAGTCATTTTTGTGGAGGTACATTTTGTTGTCGTACTCCAGTAAAGAAACAAGTGCTAGAGAGCCCTCCACTCCAAGAATCTGCACTTGTAGCAAATTTTGTGAACTTACTGCATTTCCAAAGTATCTGTACAGTAATGAGTAGCTCAAAAAAATAAGCTGCATTAAAGCTATGAGCTTGAGGGTTAACACAACATAAAATCTGCGTTCCTACTGTGAGCCTGAGTGCCTTATATGTGTGAGATTACTTTAATGTTGAAGCTCTGCCTCTGAGGGATGTGGTGTGTTATTTAACTTCATGTCCAACTGTGGTGCTCAGATAAAGGTGTGCACTCAGTGTGATGAACTGTATTACAATATGAAGTGATTAAGATTCCTGCCTCTCCTTTCTTCTCTCCACAGAGATCCTCGGGGCATTCATCTCAGTCATTTCCATCTGGATCGTTACGGGAGCTCTGGTCTATTTAGCCATAGAGAGGATCGTACGCAACGACTATGAGATTGATGGCCATGTAATGTTAGTCACCTCCGGGTGTGCCGTCATCGTCAATATAGTGTGAGTGGTTCTCAGCATAATGGGTGTTAACATAGTACATTATGTTGCTGTAATAAAGGCAAACACTACATTTAAAAGCTTCATGATAACACTAAAATCTCAGCTTGAAAACTACATTCATCTCAACTACAACTGGTAAATATTTCTTACTGGGACATAGGATCCTGATATAGCTCAGGAATTCTTAGCAATAGTAAATCTATCTAAATAGGACTTCTATTAACTGGATCAACTTTTCGCCGCAGCATTTTTTCCCCCCAGTGCTAATGTTCATGCTAAAATGACAGGCTACTAGAATGAGTATGAACTGAGCTGAGTGCAAAGTCTATAAACAAAAATGCAGGCTGTTAAACTAGAAGGTTAATCAGACATCTGGGCCTCCATCCAACAGGTGCAGAAGATAAACAAAACAAAATAAGCTAATGCCAAAGATCAATAATGCTCTCGGTCTCAAAAGAAAATCAAAATAATACACTATGATGCTTTAAACTGAGTATGAATTATTTTGTATTGGCAGTGATGTGTTTCTACCACCTGAAATATAGTATAATTGCTATACTACTTAAAATACATGTTACACAATTCAACATATTTGAAAAAAAAAAAAATATCAGGAAAATAGGATAAAGAGTATTTTATGACGATATTACCACCAGGACTGCGTTTAAATCCACTGGTGGAATGTAAATAAGTACATTTACTCAAGTACAAATTTGAGTTTTATTTGAGTATTTCCATCTTATGCATGTTTATACTTCACCACGTTTTGAAATATTGTACTTCTTACAGCAGTACATTTGCAGAATAAGATAATTAATTCAAGATATAAATAAACTAATAAACTTTAATTTTATAGGTTATGTTACCCAGCAGTGTATAAAGTTAATTAATTTAGCTCCACCTTTACCAGCGGCATCAATAAAATGATAAACACATTAATGCATCATGAATTATAATCCAACAATATCATATACATGATTCTGAAATGGCCCACTCTGCATAATGATTACTTTTACTTGATATTGATATATCAGTTCTTTTGGTACTTAAAGAATATTTTGATGGAAATACTGTTGTACTTTGAGTATTTTTACACTGCAGTATTGCTACTTTTGCTTCAGTAAAAGATCCCAATACTTTTTTTTTTTATCACATCAAACCTGGAAAAAAAGTGATATACTTTTTGTCATCAGTAGTTTTTAGGTCTCTGAAAACCTTCAGTCATCATGGAGGGATTACTAAAAAGGCCCAATGGCTACAGGTACAGGGGCCCAAAGTGTCAGGGGTCCCCTGGCTCTCACTTTCAAAATGTCACTCAAATTAACATGTACCAACTCAGGAGAAACAAAAAGGACCACAAAGACATTCATTGAAACTGCAAAAAGACACAAAATCATTATAAAAAGGGGTAAAACAAGCATGAAGAGACATGAAATGACCAAAAAAGTCACAAAATTACCATACAAATGAGAAAACTGACTACAAACAGACACAAAACAACATCAGCAAATTTCTATATCTGTGCTCAGGGGCCCATTGTCTCATAATGTCACTCCTACATAAACGTCCCTCAAAATGTTGTTATTTGCTGCCAATAAAAATATCTGTTGTCAGGAATAGGAAAAAATGTAGTCATAGTAGTTAAAACCAGAATATGTCATTTTTGATCACATTTTAAAATCCTTTGGCAAGAATGGATATTTACTTTTTGTGGGTGACACTTTTAACGTCCAACTGTTCAATTTCAGTGTCAAACTACTTTATCTTTCGATTTTTGTTTTTCTTTCTTAGTGGGGAAATTTGTATTTGAAGCTAAAACCTGCATCTTTATAAACTGTTTTCCTCTCAGGCAAAACAGAGTCAGTAATTAAAGTACCTCTGTCGTTCTGTAGCATGGCCTACATCCTCCATCACTCCACCACCTTCCACGCCCACGGCAGTGGTTATCACCAGATTGACGAGGGTGGCCAGAGTCCCATCGCTCACGGCCACTCCCACACGCTCCTTGGTGGCCATGGCAACACGAGTGTCCGCGCGGCCTTCATCCACGTGCTCGGAGACCTGCTGCAGAGCGTCGGCGTCATGGTGGCTGCGACCATCATCTATTTTCGGGTCAGATATAGATCACATTCATGTTAGGGTGAGACTGAAATGCCAGTTTGCTGATATTGGCATTTTAAATAAAAATCCAAAATGATCCAATCGTCTCTGATGATGCCCTTTAACTTAAATAATTCTGGTTTTCAGCAGAATTTTGATGAATTTATGGCCTAAATATTGTTGCATTTAATTCTTTTTTTAATGTTCAGGATCAAGACAGTCTTTTTGTATCTTAACTGAATATTCTCTGTATAATACATCCTATAATACCCAACACTAAAACCTCTTACTCAAGCATCAAATGTTATTTAAAGGTATGTATTAATGTGTACAGATGAGGAGATGAAAGCATGAATGCTTCTATTTATTCCGAGTCTTGTTTATTATGAACGGGTTAAATATTTCTGTCATCATGCAAGATGTTCCCTTCTCTTTTTGCCCTGGGCACTTTAATGGCTGCTGACTGGGGAAAACAGCATCTGATGTCTCTTTACTCACTCTTTAAGTCTCTGTAACCTCTTTTTTTTCTCTTTCAGCCTGAGTATAAAGTTGCAGATCCCATCTGTACGTTCCTGTTCTCTGTTTTTGTCCTCTGCACCACGGTCACCATCCTTAGAGATGTCTTTAGGATACTCATGGAAGGTACTTCATTTTGAGATTGTTATTATATAACATTTTTTCCTCTGTTATACTTTAAAAATGTATAGGTTGGGAGAGGAGAATGATGAAAATGTTAGGTTTCTGACACAAATAATGATTGAGGTGCAATGATTAAAATTTCAAAAACCATAGCTGCCATTTCACCACCACGACAAAACTACTTATTTACTTGGAAATCATACGTTAATATAAACTCTCAGCACTGAATACACAAGAAAAATAAAGCAAATTGCCATAACTCAGGTACTATCTTGTATAACGTTGAATCCAGGACGGGTTTAGTTTAAGTTAGCATAAAGACTATGAACAGCTATCCTGCTAACATCTCTAAAGCTCATGAACTGACACGATGTATCTCGTTTGTTGAATCTGAAGACATCTTTGTCTCCTGCTCCGTTCTTAAATGAATAGTTAGACATGTGGGAAATACACTGATTCGCTGAGAGTTAGATGAGAAGAATGATACCACCGTTCAGTACCCTAAATATGAGGCTATATCTTACAGCTGGTAATTTCTGCTTAGTATAAAGACTGGAAACAGTCCCCAAAAACTATGAACACGTTATATCTAGTTAGTTTAATCTGTACCAAACTGAAATGTAAAAACGTCAATTGTTCATGGAGATTGCCTGGAAACATCTGTGTTAGCAAGTCCAGTATATAAACAAATTATTAGTAAGGATTGATATGACAAGTTAATTAGGCTGGTCAGTTTTAGTGGTGCTAGTAGGTGAATTTTTTAAACTTTGGACAGAGCCAGGCTAGCTGTTCACCCGTTTCCAGTCTTTATGCTAAGCTAAGCTAAACTAAGCTAAGCTAAGCTAACCAACTACTGACTGTAGCTTCATATTCAAAGGAGCCCTACGCAACATTCAGAGAATATCTCTATTCAGAATCTGGGGTGGCATCGTCTGCATGGAGGTGGCTGAGCTGGTAGCTAGCAGCTACCAGTGCTAACTCAACAAACAGTGCTAACAACAGCACCAGTGCTGACAGAGCTAACAGTGTTAACCTGGGACGGAAACCGGAGTGTGGGCGCTACACTTTTGCAACAATGTTGTCCTGATATCAGCGTAACCGCTGTATAAGCGCAGTGGGGACGGGAACTGCCCATTGGTCTGACATCCCATTGTACCGACCATATTAAACCCTTTGTTCCGAAGTCCCGTTGTTCCGAAATCATAATGATGCCCTGTGGTTAAGGTCTGGTTTGGTTAAGGCACAAAAAACACTTGGTTAGGGTCAGGAAAAGATCATGGTGTGGGTTAAAATGAAAAAGAAAGTGGCAAACACATAAGCCGTGAGCCTGCTCCACCTCAAGCCTTTCCCAGCTGACCCAGAGCCGGTCGCGGCGCACCATCAAGGTAGAAGTATGCCCGCCGGGAGCCAATCAGCACTGCAGACAGTCGGACTAATGGGATGTTGGACCAATGGGCTGTCGGACCAATGACATGGACCCGTGGGGATTCACGTACACTAATAGGCACAAGCGGCTGGGCCATCCACTGTAGGTACAAACACAGAAACTCGAATTACAATACACACACACACACACACACACACACACAGAGCATGACCTCATTCTCTGCTCAGGACACCATTACTCTACAATATCCTTACAAAGACAATAATGGTTTGCTGCTATATTAATGCCCTAAATGTCGCATATAGAACCTTTCACAGACGCACGAGAGAGTAGTGTCGATGTTCTTATCTATGTTCTTACTACTCCTGTACGGTGGCTCATAAGCTGAAGGGTTATTTATGACCAGTGCAGGGTTGTTCTCGCCTGCAGCTGTGATCAAGCTGTCAAGTTTTGACCTCATCTGAAGAGGTCAACATCACACAATGCTGACATGTTCTGTGCATATACAGGAGTGGATTTAAAAACCAAAAACCAAAAACCAAAAAAAGATAGCGGGGCTCATGACAAATTACATACACTGGCTCCATATGTGTGGACATGGATTGAAACTAGCACCAGAATTTTGCTAAACAAGTACACAGACCTCTGTGCTTTTCTAAATGCTCAGCTGGCTGTTTTGACTTTGAAGTTTATGCAGAACAAAGAACAAGGACACAGATGGTGACATCCTGAGGACGTCACAAGATTCTTAGGACATTTTAAACATTGTCTTTGCACATCACTGAACCCTTCTCCCCTCCCAAATGCCCCCTTGATCAGTATGATAAATTACATTCGGCTAAAGGTCACCTGAAAAGTAATGAAAAAGCCATCTGGTGCTACAAACTAAGCTAGCTAAATAAGATTTTTCTGTACATTAACATACAAATAAAACATGATAACAAGGCTTTTATTATCCTCAGATATGTGACGTCAGTGTCTCCTGTCTAGAACCATGCCCGGCAGAAACAGGGAGCCACTGTGTATTAATTTGTGGCCTGTTGTTTTTCAGGCTCTCCTAAAGGAATAGAGTTTAACTCAGTGAAGGAGGTGCTGATGTCTGTGAAGGCTGTGAAGTCTATGCACAGTCTGCATCTCTGGGCTCTGACTCTGGGCCAGGCGCTGGTCTCCGTTCACCTGGCCATAGGTAATGTAACATACATGACTTACCTACACTGACTTGAGAGAAGTGATATTACTATTGAAAGTATTCAGGCAATTGAGGGTCTAAAGATAGGAGGTTTTGTACATTGTAAAGGTTGTTGTAAAGTTTGTAAAAACACATTTGTAATTTTGTGCTACATGTTAACATGGATGCAAATATATCATATACAGAAGAGATTATATTGGACCACACTGGCACTGTTAACTGAACAGGTGCGACCTGACAAAGCTGATCAACAGGACGAGCACAGACTCACCACACTCCAGCATAAAGATGAAAATAATGATGACATAAACATGTATGAAAAGCGAGAGATTCAGTTTCAATTACCCTGTAATCTATAGAAAGGACAAGGCAGCACATAAAATGTGAGTGCACCACAAAATGTGCTATTATATATCAGCTGTATCAGTGTTCATTCTAAACTTAATCTAGTCTGAGCGTAATTTTTTCACAGATTCTGCATTTAAAATACAATCTTCACTGGCCTACGTTGTTCTCATGCTCTAAAATATGTGTGAAGCTCAGGTGTGAAATAGAACAAACTAAGTACATTTACCCAAGTACTGTACTTAAGCATAAAATTTGAGGTATCTGCACTTTATTTGAGCCTTTTCTTTTCAGGCCACTGTCTATTTCTACTCCACTACATCTTGAAGGGAAATGTACTTTTTACCCCCCTAGTTAATTTACATATTAAGATTTTTGCACACAAAACATATGAAAAGGTTATATAATATGATGTTTTGTTATCAGTGAAACTACCCAATAGTTTCTATAAGTACAGCTGAAGTAACTACTCGATAAATTGATAAGCGGATTGACTAAAAATTAATCCCTATTCCAAAACCAAAATCAGACCCTGAAAAGTGTAGGGTTAGCTAGCTAGCTACTGAAGATTCAGCCTACTGAATGTACACACATGCTGCTTTTGCTTTTAAATCATTATAACAGTGAATAAAGACTGACCCTGCTGTACAGGAACCAGTGAAGGGAAGCAGGGAAACTTTGCTGATATTCAACCAGCTCTGTGTCATCGCATTGTGTGCAGATGAACGTTGTTGGACTTCCCCTGGGGATCCCTGCCCATCCAGTGGCAGAAGTCCGGGTGCTGGCAGCAGCACCGGGGCGAAGCCAAACAGCGTTCATCTTCACACACTGCGATGCCACACAGCTGGTTCAATATCAGCAAAGTTTCCCTTTATATTCATTGTCTTCTGTGGCGATCAGCATTGATGTAGTGGTTCACTTTTACACTGTGATCTGTAGCCTATAGTTCGGCTTTAGCTTCTAACTATCTTTGTCTTTTTAACCTGTTGTTGCTGCTGAGTCAGTTTGACATAAGTACTTTTACAAGAGGAAGAGAAGAATGAAGAAATTAGAAGAAACACCATCTAGTAAAACAGACTCACTGTGTTGCTTTCTTCTTTCTTACTTCACGGCAGAGGAGGGTGCTGACGCTCAGTCTGTGCTGCAGGAAGCCACTGATCTGCTCCACACCAAGTTTGGTTTCCACAGCATCACCATTCAGGTGGAGCTCTACTCTGAGGACATGAGCCACTGCTCCCACTGCCAAGACCCCAGTGACTGATACTGATAGACTGGAACCCAACAGGAACATGGAACAGCTCAGGCATTATTTTTCATTCTCTGTGGGTGAGCTGGAACAGTGACAGCTGCATTCACCGATGCAGCTTCCTGTTAAAGGAGTAGAAAGAGTTTTTGGTAGATTTGTTGTGTTCGCCATTAAGTCACAAGACAGCGAAATCATCCATGTGTTGGTAGTAGAGTGCTGATGCTGGAGCTCCATGCTAACATGGAACTAAGTCCTTCCATAAAGACCTTCATTAAAAAATAGGAGGGCTGTAGGGTACTCCAGTCCTCAAGTTTGCATGGAGCTTTAACAAAATACAAGGACAATTTCACAAGAATGAAAGAAAGCCCTGACGAAGACAGTTTGTCCTAAAAAATATGCAACAGAACCATAAAACCTCCTCCACAAGATTGTATGACAGCACGATTACTGCTTATTGATGGAAAAATAATCTATAACAGCAAAATTTGTTCACCAGACTTGCTAGCTCATTGCTAGTTTACGGTAGTTGCAAATAAGTTACGAACCTTTTTACAAAGTCAACTGAGAAAAAGCATTTTCATTGTGCTTGAATGTGTTCAAGTTTGTCTGTGAAAGAGGTTCTAGGCAATAAGTTGTCATAAAGTTTACATTAATATGAACATGACCTGTACGAGCAGCAGGGATCCATCTTGACAAAAGTAGGAATACGAGTTAGCATGGGACGCAAGGACTCTTGGACGATCGTAGGCCATGAACACTAGCGCACGGTATTACTTATTCAAGATTGTCTGTTTGATGTCTAACCTTTAAAAAATGAAATATTAAAAGTCAATTTAAGAAAAGCGGCACAGTTTATATTTATGCAACTACTTCAGGAGAAAACTAATTTCCCTTCTCCACTCTCTCCCAGTGTGTGATGCTTTATGAAATTAGCTGCTGCTGGTTGAAAACACTGCCTGATTTTTAGTACTTCACGTAAATTAAAGAAAACTGCCAGACACAGGGCTATACAAGAACTTTACTACTTATTTTCTACTGTAACAAAACCAAAACCTCCCTGAAGATGTTACTTATACACAATAATAATGCAAAATCCTAATATATTAGCATGGAGCATACAATCAGTGCTGGCTGTTAGCATGGAGCACCTGAAGTCTTGTTCTACCAGAGACACATGGATGACTTTAATGTCTAACGTTACCAAACAGCCCGTCTACCGGACACTCACTCTACAGCTCACTGCCATCTTTGTTCCATTAACCTGCTTTTCACTTAAGGTCAAACATGCATGAGTGCTGCTAGCTGGTCACGATTGACATTTTTCAAGGTTTTTTTTTTTGCCAAAAACTTTATTTCTTGACATAACTGATAGAAGACTTCATGGTTATTTGTCAATTTGTCTTTTAAGAAAGAAAAGCATGAATAATACCTCTCTAAAAATATTAATTGTGAACATACTGTTGGTTGACGCCTTAGCAAAATCACAGACTGAGGGTGTAAGAAATTAAATCTGAGGATTGGTCAATGTCTTGATAAGGAAATTATGGTGAGGGTGAAGTATAGGATGATTAACCATCTAAAGTCACCTTTTAATCCATGAACAGTGCTATTTTTGCTTCCAAGTGAAACTGACAAGGGGTTCCTGGTTCAAACCCAGGGTGGGGGGTTCGAACCCGGGTTGGGGGAACCCTTCTGTGCGGGGTTCTCGTGTTCTCTGTGTCCGCGTGGATTTTCTCTGGGTACTCCAGCTTCCTCCCACAGTCCAGACATGCAGGTCAGGTAAATTGGTGACTCTAAATCGGCCATAGGTGTGAATGTGAGTGTGAATGGTTGTCTGTCTCTATGTGTCAGCTCCGTGATAATGCGGCGACCTGTCCAGGGTGTACCCTGCCTCTCACCAAGCCAAGATATTCATCATGTTATGGACAAGCAAACATTTTAATTTGGAGGCAAATTGTAAAGCGTTTTGTCCATTAATGGCCAACTCTAATTTTTAACCTGGACCTTTTTTTGTGTCTAAGAGCCAACCATTTTTGAAATTGGTCCAGTGTTGAGAATGATCACTGCAGCCAGCAGCATTGAAACACGCTGCAACATAATCCCTATGGTCAATTGTATACCTTCAATGTATATCCACTTAAAGTGCTTATGTTTGCCACTGACAGGTTATTATAACTACCTGACAATTTTATGGAAAAGACCCTACAGAGTTATGAAACATTTTTCCTTACCCTTTGCTAATCCGGTCTGGTTTTTGTTGTGTGTGTAACCAAGTTTCTCTCAAAGAGAAGTCTCGTTCTGAAATCTGGCAGGCTCTTCCTACATAGTCAGCCATGACATCGAAAATCTTTCAAGCATGCTTTCAGTTGCATAATTGCTTTGAGAAAGCTGCTCTTGATTAGTCAGAATTTCCATGCGGGAAGAATCCAGGAAGTAAACAAAACTTTGAGGAAGAGTACACTTGCAAGATAAATGTGACACTTTCTAATGTTATAATGGAGGGACAAGTACATGGGTTGATTTTGGCGCTGGGTCATTGTGGACTATATTGCTGTCATTGTTCATTTTAGTCAAACCATACAGTTTGTAAACGAGGCACGGCTCCAACTAGAAAACAATGATTTGATGCATTAGAATATTATGGCAGCACAGGAGGAGGTGCACATTAATAATCCTCTGGGACAGGCTAATGCTTGTTTAACCCAAACAATGCGTAATGCCACTGCAGTTGGTTCGGATCAAGGTTGTAACACGTTCTCACCACAAACAAACTGCACCAGAGTTTGGTTGTAACTGGACCTTGACCACCTCTTCCAGAAAGACAGAGACCAGCTCTTTAAGAAATTCTCGGTCAGGTTGTTTTGGTGCACATGTGAGCGCAATTGCTGTGTTCACACCTGCCCAAACAAACTGCACTTAAGGGGCAAAGGAGATTGAGTTCGACTGAACCGAACCAAAAAGGGCAGGTGTGAAAGCACCCTAAATAATATAAAGCTGTGCTTTCAGTACTCCAACAGAATGAACTCTTCCTGTCCCCCCTCTCTCCCTCTCCCCAGCTCTCGATAACATTTCCACTGTTGTTTTTCCTGCAACAAGTCACCTCTTCTGAGATTTCAGAGCAAGGCTTATCCCTGAGTGAAACTGTCACAATAACATTCAGAGCAGCAAAAGAAAGATAAATGTTTATGTTCTCTCTAGGGTCTTCTCCATTATGTTGTCAGACACTTCTAATAACAATCTGAGCCTGTCAGTGGCACTTTAAGTCGAAGTAAAGAGAGACTGTTCCTCTCAGTACTGGACCAGTTTCAAAAAATGTTGTCTCCATTAGTTACTAAGACACAAAAACAGGGTCCAAGTTGAAAAATTCCAAAGTGTCCCTATAAGGTGGAGAAAAGATATTGAAGTGTAGTTTGTTTCCTATTTCACTGCGAGTCCTGGTCTGGATCCCTCACACCGGTCCTAAAAGCCACAGTATCCTGACCTAAACTGTTCTACTACTCCCTTTAAACATTATACTACAATGTACCTCATCATATCATGTTGGCTACATGTGTCTCTCCTGTCTTATACCTAATAATTTCAGCTAAATGTTGACTTCACCAACATCTCTACTTTATTGGACTTTGCTTCATTTGATCACATCATAAGGAGTCTCTATGTCAGAGGGGAAGGAAAAGTAAATTCTTTTAGATTAATGAACATGTTTTTCAGGAAAATTCAATGGAACTATAAAGACTGGTTGAGATGTTTCTTAAGACACCAATAGCCTCAAAACTAAACTCATCAAGGGCTATTTTTGGTGGTAGTTCTTTTGACAATTTTCTTGTGTTGCAGCCATTTTCCGTTTCACTTGATCAGAGTCAGTACCCTCAGTTCTGTCTTTAGCGTGCATCTTTGTGAGATGGGTTTGTCTAAGAGGTGGCACTGTATTGATAAGTGTCAGACTGAAAAAGCATTCAGCTACTTTCAGTCCAAGCAGACACTCAGGTCTGAGGGCAAAAATGATTTAGTTCTTCAGCTAGACGATTAGTTTCAGCTTCACGCCGGCGTCATCCATCTCATCTGTCTCTCATTCCTGCTGTAGCTTCAGCGTTACTCATCCATCTACTACTCCACTTCTCTCTGTTCCACCAGCTTTCATCTGTCTAGCTGTCCGACCATCCATCCATCAGTGTTATTCAAGTCAGAGGCCCTGGAGTAGGCTGGATATTCAAAATCCCAAAAGGTAACAGGAGCTTACAGCAGACTTCATGAGCACTCAAGACTTTCAAAACTAGAATTACCATCTTGTAGTTGTATACCTCTGCGAACCACTTAAGTTGTAGTTATAGTTTACATCCATGTCTGTCTAGACTCATATGTTGCAATGACAGTTGACAGTGCTTGCAAATATAGATGATGCTGTAAATAAGCTACAAATTCTAAAACATGGATGCTTCACACACATCTTCAACCCTGCAGCACAGAAGATTTATATGGTCAGCACAGTTTCAAGGTGGACACCTAAGATTAGTGTCACCAATGTAGTATCAGACCAAATAATGTCCAGATAAGTATTTTATGCATAATATTATGATGTCGCAGTGAAGTTGACCTTTGACGTTTTCAATATAAAATGTTAACACTTCATCATTTTATCCTATTAGACACTGGTGTGAAATTTGTCACTATAAGCGTATGAATTCTTGAGTTATGGCCAAAAACACACACGTTTTGCGAGGTCACAGTGACCTTGAGCTTTGACTACCAAAATCTAACCAGTTCATCATTGAGTCCGAGTGGACATTTGTGCCAAATTTGAGGAAATTTCCTCAAGGTATTCTTGAGATACTACGTTCATAAGAATGAGATGGACAAGGTCACAGTGATCTTGATCTTTGACTACCAAAATCTATTCAATTCATTGTTGAGTCTAAGTGAACATTTGTGCCAAATTTGAAGAAATTCCCTCAAGGTGTTCTTGAGATATCGTGTTCACGAGAATGGGATGGATGAGGTCACACTGACCTCGACCTTTGATCACCAAAATCTAATCAGTTCATTCTTGAGTCCAAATGAAAGTTTGTGCCAAATTTGAAGAAATTCCCTCAGATGTTTGTGCCGAATTTGAGGACATTTCCTTAAGGTGTTCTTGAGATATTACGTTCATGAGAATGAGATGGACGAGGTCACAGTGACCTTGACCTTTGACTTCCAAAATCTAATCAGTTCATTCTTGAGTCCAAATGGACGTTTGTGCCAAATTTGAAGAAAATTCCTCAAGGCATTTTTGAAATGTCATGTTCACGAAAATAGGACAGACGAACAACCCAAAAACATAATACTTTAGGCCATGGCTGTTGCCGGCGTGGAGACATAATAAAAATATCAACCCATTTTTAGTACACATCAGTGTTTATAAGGTGTACACCTCAGCTGATGGTTTACCTTTATTCAAACTAAGGTACTGGAATGATACCTCAACTTCGTCTTATATAAATTTTTTACATTATAATCTCCATTTTAACACTTTGCTTACACTATATTTTCCCACCTTTATTCCTTCTCTATCATTGCAACTCTTCATGCCCCTTCATACAAAGCCAGCAATGCAGTGTAGCTTCCAGCCATTTATCAATCAATGTTATTTAGCTCCCGGCAATGCATGAAGCATCAGAGCTCAGCTTCCAGCCTTTCAAACAGTGCAGCTTAGCTCCATGCATCACTGAAGCTCAGCATCGGCTTTTCAGCAGCCAACAATTATGCAATTCCTTTAGACATAACATTCTCTAGTGAGCTTTGTTGTTGGCAAAACTGAGCAAACGTCCGGAAGGAGGCACTAGAGGAAAGCTTATGTTATGAACAAAAAATAGTTCATCTCCTGGGAAGCTGAATTGTGCAAAGTAAATAGTGGTCTGCGCTTAAGATTTGATTTCAATTAAATTTTGGGCTGATGGTGGTGCTAGGGGGCACGATCATGTTATCATTAACATCATTAGAATTTCCAGGGACCACAAACATCAGCCAGTTTTGGTCTGTAATGGTTAACACTTTGAACTTGAGTGAAGAGTATACATTTTATTAGTCTTAAGTAAAGCCAACAAGCCAGTTGTCATGCCTGTAATGTTTTGCAGCTCCTATAAAAGTGTTCATGTTGTTAGTCGCTCAAAGACAGGACAATTGTACATTGTAAACGCCTAGTTGGCACCCATTCTGATCCAAATACTTGCATGGTTGTTAGCTGTTATTCAATATAATGTACAGTAAGAAGTTTCTCGTTCAACTGCCAATCAGAATACATCGATATGCCATGCGGAGGATAAATCAAAGAAAAGATATCTTCTTAAAAAATTCTATATTTTCACCAGTTTTTAAGGAGATCCTGTATATTTAAAGACATTTTTTTTCCTTTTGAAATAATGAAAAAATGAGAATATATATGGACCCAACAGCTAAGTTTAAACAAAGTGAATGTAATGACGACCAATGCATTTTACTGTACTAGTTTTGATATACATGCATACATACTGAAGTTCTCCTCTACAGGTGTTAAACTAGAGCCAAAGTTTGTCAGTACGGTTAATTTAATTCCAGAAAACACAGTTCCTGTCTGTTCACTATGAAAGTCTAATGTTTGAGAATGCTCTGTATTGTGCCGTTGCTGTCCGTGACAATTATTCTCTGTGACTGTTGTAAATATGTCAAATATTGTGTATTTTCTGTGTATGATTTTGTGTATACATGTGTAAATACATTTATCTCCCTTGTACAATCGGTCCTATTTGTCTAAGTGTTATGGTGATACTGCATAAATCCAC